ATGAATAAATAAATTTATAAAAATTTTATTTAGGTAATTTTTTGTTTTAAATATATTATTTAAGAAATTAATTCAAAGTTAAGAATTATTACTTAAAGATGTGAAAGTTCTTTAAGAATTCTTACTTTAATTGTTTTTTATTTAAATTAATTTTTATTTTTATTTTATATTTCAGTTTTTTAAATATTTTTCAGAGGAAAAAGAAAAATACATTAAATTATTATTTAATTTGAGAAATGAAAATTAAAATATTATCATTATTTAATATTTTATTACATTTTTATTTTATATATAAAATATGATTGAAATTTTTCTATATAATATAGACACATAGAATGGAAAGAAATATTTTTACAATTTTTATATAAAGAAGTTACGATTTATAGGGGTAAGAATGCAATCTTATCTACTAGTAATAAAAGACCTTCGCTATATAGGTTGGGAGTTTCAATAAAAATTTAACATATAAATTAAATAGAATAAATTATATTATGTATATAAATATTAACGAAAATAAAAAATTTAGGAAGTCATAACTCCCTTCCACTATTTTAAGAATTGTCATTCTATTAGATTTAAAAAAAAATTATATTATTTATCTATTGTCCTAAAATTTCATCAAATCCAAATAAAAAAATGAGAATTAAGTCATGTTTCTGTAATAGTATTCTATCAACGATCATTGTTAGAATAATGATCATAAACTCAAGTTACGATTTATAGGGTAAGAATGCAATCTTATCTACTAGTAATAAAAGACCTGCGCTATATAGGTTGGGAGTTTCAATAAAAATTTAACATATAAATTAAATAGAATAAATTATATTATGTATATAAATATTAACGAAAATAAAAAATTTAGGAAATCATAACTCCCTTCCACTATTTTAAGAATTGTCATTCTATTAGATTTAAAAAAAAATTATATTATTTATCTATTGTCCTAAAATTTCATCAAATCCAACTAAAAAATGAGAATTAAGTCATGTTTCTGTAATAGTATTCTATCAACGATCATTGTTAGAATAATGATCATAAACTCACAAAATTTTGCCATTTTTTTCAAAAAAATAAAAATAAATGATCTTTCTAAGAATCATAATCTTTAAGTCATTTAAGAAAATTTTGGAATTTTTATAAAAAAGAATATAAAAGAAATGAGAAAATTTGAATCATGAGTCAATCATATATAATTTGAGGAGACTAACTAGAACTATTAAAACGGGTGGTCAAATCCAACTTGACTTGACCCTACAACCCAAGTAAAAAAAATATATATTTGATGATTCAACGTAATTTATATTTTAAAATTAATCAAAATTTTAGCCTAATCTAACTTTATACTAGACCAACAGATTAATGAACGAATTTAGACTTAATTGTTTTTAAAAAAATATTAATATATCTATAACAAATCAATTAATTAAAAAATATATTTAAATAAAAATAAAAATATATTTTTAAAAAATATTTTTATTAATAAAATTAATATAAATTTAAGATATAATAATTTAATACATAAATTATAAGATAATACATCAATTCAATATCAAAATAAGAATTAAAAACTTATTCTTTATTATCATTATTTATTTTTTAGTAATGTATTAATTTAAAATAATAATTAATCTTAATCATTAGATCTTGAAATAAGTAATTGTTAAAGATTTAATCTAATATTTACTCTTAGAATAAGGGATTTCTGTCAAATTAATCTATAATACATATGTTTTTAATAAAATAATATTTTTTTTATTTAAAAAATTATTATTATTCTATAAAACAAGTCAACCTATAAATCTACTGGTCTAGCTTGACCTAAGCTCATGACTTACGTATGCATGATTTAAAGTAACCCATAAATATTTTTATTTAACTTAACATATTTCTTAGACCTTTCGGATCAATAATCGAGTTAAGCCTATTTAGATATTCCTATAATTAACATATAGAGATTATCAAAATGTGACATGAGTCAACCATAAAAAAATATGACATCATCTTTAATCCAACATATTACGTTATGATTTTTTTCACTTATAAATTATTTAAATTTTTTATTTATACTTAATATGAGATTTTAATTTATACGTCTCCTAGTTCTATGTTAGTTGATTTTTTTTAATGGTGTTAGAGATACCTAACATCTATTATTTTGTTAAAAAACATAAAAGATTTGTTTAAGATTACTTAAACATAAATATATGTTTTACTAACAAAAAATTGGTGTGAAAAGAATTGTGTCATTGAAAACTTTTTTTTTTTAAGGCATCATCTAAGCCAAAAGTTACGAAGTAACAAATGTAATCAAAACAACAATATATATGAGTTTTTTTTTCTTTGTCCCTATGCTAAGAAAAATAATCATCATTAATATATATATATATATATATATATATATATATATATATATATATATCAACATTAATATAGATACTGTTTCTACAACTACGTAATTCATGATTGAAAATTTTTCAGAGTTAAATAAATATCTTATTTCTCAAATAAGAATCGGTAAAGAAGAACAAATAATTATAAAAGGCATAGGAGAATTAAAATTAAGTCATTTGAATATCAAATTAATTTTTTATATGTCTATTAATTAATCAAGATTTGTTAAGTATTACTCCATAATTAAAGAAAAATTATAAGGTGACTTTTGAAATATTTAATCTATTTATGTTTCGAGTAAGGATCAAATACTACAGGGGATATGTATGAGTGAAGTGAGACTCTACTCTCGATCCCACGATGTACGTCAATATTCCGATTAAAGATCGAGAGTTTTCGGCATCATGTTTGTTATTCATCACAATTTTGTCCTTAAAAGATGTTTCGATGGGTTAAGGAAGAAATGTGTATTTAAATTATCCTTGGTCTCAACTTCTAAGAAATATAAAATTTGGTAAACATAAATAATTTAGAAGTAATATAAAATTTGGTAAACATAAATAATTTAGAAGTGGTGAATATTTATATATGAAAGTAAAAATTTATGAAAGATGAGGTTAATTTCAAAGAATATACAAAATAAGAATCAAAATTAGAAGAAAAGCATCGTTGAAAAAAGTTAATATCAATAAAAATAATGAAAATGTAAATAAGAGTAAAATTCTGGATGAGGTTAATTTCAAAGAATATACAAATAGAATCAAATGAGAAAAGCATCGTTGAAAAGTTAATATCAATAAAAATAATGAAAATGTAAATAAGAAACTATTTTAAAATTTCAACGTTACTATATTAAAATTAAAAAAAAAAAGTATACATTAATGAAAAATATAAAGAATAAAACATTAATATTAAAATAAACAAATGTTAAAATAAGGAAAAATATTGTTTATTTTTTTTAAATTAATTATTAATAAATTTATATTATATTTTAGTTTTTTAAATATTATTTAAAGAAATTATTATTATTATTATTATTATTATTATTATTATTATTATTATTATTATTATTATTACATAGAAAAGTATATAAATAAACTATGATAAAAGTTTTTCTAAATAATATATCATTTATTTTCAATATGTCAAAACTCAACAATTGTCATATTCACTTTTGTCAGAACCAACTAAAATAAAAATGACCTTCCAAATTTATTTTTTTCAAAACTCAACATATTTTTTTTAAAGATCAACTTTGTTAAAAAATTTACCTGCAAATAATTGAAAAAAAAAACACAGTGAGATTAATATAAATTAAACAAATGCAGGAGTTGAATGGAACGCTAGAAATGTATTCTCAATAAATGCAGTTCATTCAAGAAATCAAAAGGTGTTTGTCACTTCCAGAAAACGAAAAAAGAAAAGCAACACCACAAGATAACAAATCAAATAAGAGTGTTTTTATTTTTAAATTTCACGTATTTTAATAAAAAAAATTATGCGATAGAAGTAATATTTTATCTCCGTATAGAAAAAAAAGACGAAAAAGGTTTAAAATTTTAAATATAACTTTTTTATAATTTTCTTATTATAATAATAAATAATTAAAAAATATATTAAAACAATAAAAAACTATTAGTAATGAATAAATTATTTGATTTTTCATTTATTTTTCTTAATCTAACCAATCTTATTTTTTTATTATCTTCCTCTCTTTTTTTAACTTTTTCAATTTCACTTCAAATGTTAAAGTTTATTTATGGTGACTTGGACCAAAATATGTAACCTGGTGATTATTTAAAGTTATTAAAATAATTTTATTATTATTATTATTATTATTATTATTATTATTATTATATATTAAGACTGACAATGAGATAGTTTAGAAATGTTATGACATTGGACTCATGAATGGAACAGACAAAAAATTAATAATTTTATAATATTTTAAAAAATTATATTCTCTTAACGAACAAATTTATTTTTATTAATTTAACTTTATAATTTATGCATACAAGACCTCTTATTATTAATTATTTTAATTTCTTTCCTCATATCAATCACTTCTATAGCTTATGCGTTGAAATTCTCCGAAATGGCTCCACAATAAAATAGCAAAAGCAAAATTTACACTTTTAGTATTTGTCAGAATATTATTATTCTGAAAGTCACAAGCATATACCTACTCGATATAAAAATATGCTTTTGATTTTTGTTAATTCCCACACGTGGATAAAATTAAAGTTCAAATACTAAACCAAACTAAAAATTTTGACAAATTAATTGAACCACGTGTATGGTTAAACCATACGAATGATGTGTTGATTAAATTGATGATGAGGAATATATATAATGAATCCAACTTTTTCTCTGACAAATTCTGAAATGCGAACCAAATTCATTAGTTAAAGTCACCACTAGTTGCTAGTGTCCTCTACACTACCTCTATTCTTTTTCGTTGTCCAAGTTCATTCATTTACATCGCTCAACCTTGTAATGGCTATAAATATCCTTCTTTTCAGCATCTGTAAATCAAAAAACTCTAAAAAGTTGTGTTCTTCTTTTCTATTTCCTGAGTATTTTTTTCTACTTTATTTCATATCCTTGTAATGGCTTCCATTGATGGTCACAAAAGTGAGACTTCGTTGAATCATGTTGAGATTCCTGTTCATGCAACTGGTGTAGAGCCAAAACCAAAGGAAGAAGTTGAAGAGAAAAACAAAGACTACTCTCAGAGGGCAAATTGGTTGCGTGCAGCAGTGTTAGGAGCCAATGATGGCTTAGTCTCAGTTGCATCATTGATGATGGGTGTTGGAGCTGTTAAGGAGAACATCACAGCCATGCTTGTTGCTGGTTTTGCAGGCTTAATTGCTGGGGCATGCAGCATGGCAATTGGAGAGTTTGTGTCTGTGTACACTCAATATGACATAGAAATAGGTCAAATTAAAAGAGAGAGAAAAAATAAAAACATTGGTGGAGTGAGTGAAGAAGCTCAAAGGGAGAAGTTGCCAAAGCCATTTCAGGCTGCTCTAGCATCAGCACTAGCATTTTCTGCGGGTGCAGTGGTGCCACTGCTAGCAGCTGCATTCATAAAGAACCATAAAATCAGGCTTGCTATTGTTGTTGCAGTGGCAAGCCTCACATTGGTGCTTTTTGGTGGGGTTGGAGCAGTGCTTGGAAAAACTCCTCTCACTAAGTCTTGTCTAAGAGTGCTGATTGGTGGTTGGATGGCTATGACTATAACATTTGGCCTCACCAAGTTGTTTGGTTTTGTTGGGATTTGAATGTTTGGTGTTTTCAAGTTTATTTAGAGAAATAAATGTCTTTTTTTAGGTTTTATAGACTGTCCCCAAGCACAAATAGAATGAGAAACATTGGGAATGAGTTATTCATTTGAAAATTGGAAAGATTAGGATAGATAAAGAGGTCCCAAATTGTAATAGTATTTAAATTGAAAAGCCTTTTAAAATCCAATTTCTTTAAACTACTGCTAAAGAAGTTGCCTGAAAAAACATGTTTGTTGTGCCGCCCTTCATAAATGAATATTGTTATTAGCACGCATTAATCAGTTTAAATCATGTAACACCAAACTTTTCATAATCCAAATATTTTACACAATAAATGCAAGAGTACGGTAACGTCTAGTTAATCTTAATAAAGCTACATGTTTCAAATTAAACAATTCTAAACTTAAAATTTGAAAAAAAAAAAAAAATATATATATATATATATATATATATATATATATATATATTAATCTTGAACTTTAAAAATGTATGGATTTCTAGTAGAAGCAATTAGGCATGTTCATTCATCCCATTTTCAAAACATTAACTCTAATAAATTAACTCTTTATAATTAAATAATGTTATATCTTCTTAAAAATGTTCTTAGTAAATAATCAAAAATATTTAATAAAAAGGTGAATATAGTCTTACACCTATTAAAACATTAAATTCTTTCTGTACAGTTGACTGGAAGATTTTTGTAAAGATGTCAATTAATTTTTTGTCCTAAATAACACCCCACTTTTCTTCAATAATAATTTATAAATTGAATCAATTACTTATCTTTATTGACATTGGTAAGTCATTTTATTATTCATAGATTTCTTGTGGTAGCATGTAAACGAAATGAGTTGACTTTAAACTTTATAAATTTGACTTTAAAAATTCATTATTAACTTATTAAAGTATTAGTATGCATCTTTCAACATTTAAGTTCAAAACATTATATTTTTTAATATATGAATCTTTTTTCTGAAAAAAATTAGATGCAGCTCTTTTATTAATATACAGTATTAAAATAATTTATAAAGTTTCAAAATAATCTAAGAAAAAATTTGGAAAAACAGAAATAAATAAGTTATAAACGAAGTAAACTCAAGATTAATATTACTTTTATTAAGATAAGCTTAAGTTTTAATTAATCTCTCCATAAATAAACTAGTTAACATTAAAATTCAATTTTTTTTATGAATTAAGTCTAAATAAAACGAATAAACTATATACATTATAGGAAAATGTTGAGAAGATATAATATAATTCTGAACCAATGATGATGCTCTTATTTAAACATATGTAGTTTATGGAGATTCTATATATATTTACAGACAGATATTTTTACTCCATTGCTCTTCAATTAGCTAGCATATTCAGAAACGATACTCTATGTTTCACTAAACATCTAAATATGCAATCTAATCCACCCTCAAGACCCTCAATATTAACATTTAGTGTCTCCAACACCCCTAGTGCCCTTTGAAATTCACCACTGGAATCACCGTTTTTGTCTCTTCCAAGAAGGGAGTACAGAACATTGTTGAGATCTGCAACCCCATTGGTGTTCTTCTGTTCTTTCTGGGAAGAGAACAAAACAGTAGTCTTCAACTTTGAGATCAAGGAGGAGGGCCCTTTTGTTCCAAATGTTGGCATGGACAGAAATACTAATAGAGAATGTAATATGGAGAGGGTTATGGTGCTTGATTCTCTTATAACTCTAGCCAAAAATGCTTGTTGTAGATCTTGACCCAGTAAAGAAAACGAATTAACCTTATTGTGCATTCTCTTTAGTTGTCCAAGTTGTTTGGCAATTGTCTTCTTTGCCTTCTTCTTGAAGATATCAAAAGCAGAAATGCTGCTTTCAATGTTTGAATCTCCTTTTCTTCTACGTACAGCTGAATGAAGTGTTTGCATGTGTTCCTTTAGAACCAATAACAAATCTCTTGCAGTCTCACATGTGTCTAGCAAAGTGACTGAGCCACATAATGCTTCTTCTACTAGTTTCCCATCTTGGTAGCGGAGAAGAGCTTGTTGGGACTGTGGAGAATGGAAGAGCTCCTCCATGCAGTTGTACACCTCAGCAAGCACAACTAAGTCACTCTGAATAGTTTCTGCCTCCAAATCCGTAGTGCTTGAGGCAGGTTGAGAATGATGATGTTTTAGGTGGTTTAGGAGTGCTTCTACTCTCTGAGAAATGGGGTGTACTCTAGTGGGAAAACTAATGGATCTTACAGGTTGATGTGAATAGGGAAATTTAGAAATGTCTTCCATATTTTCTCTGTAGTTTTTGCTAGAATGGTGTTCCTATAGCTAACACAAGGATGCTTGATTGCTTGAATGACAACTAGTCTTTGTTGAATCTATTTATAGGACCATGGTTTGGGGAGCTAAACATGGTACCATGTTTATGAACGTGGACTATTTGGGTATGTGATGTGTACATGTGATGGCAATGTGGGTCATCCAAACTTTCATATGAGTTTCTGACATTTTGGGTCAGAAATTTGGCAGCACTGTCCATTTTTTTAATCTCATGGTCATGAGATGAGCAACTTAGAACTTTAACATAACTGTGATAAACACAATGCAACCCTAAACAATGAATACAGTGAATTGCTTGTGTGTGCTCCCCTGTTAGGCATCAATAATTCCATCTTCTCAGCCATGGTTCAATAATATAAGATATTTCCGAATTATCATGTGTATTATTGAACTTGTGTTCTACTATCATCATATGTTGTCAATTCATATCCTATTTCAAAACACAAGTTATGGATACATTTAAATAATCCTGGCTTGCTCAAACTGTTACTGGCGGAACATATGAGCAATGTTTTGTTCAAATTGGCATGATCATTTTTTTTGTCGTGACTGTGATGTCTGTGCATTTACTGTTACTGGGAGACATGAAGGGGTAATCAACAATGACACTTCCTCTACCTTGGAAATTGATGTGTTAGCATCATGAAAAACATCACACAGCATAAATTATTTCTGGTACTTAAAATGGTTTGGTGGGTGGCTTTACATCAAGAATAAGTCACAAGTTGTTGGACATGAGAGAAGTTATTCTCTTTGCTGGTCTTTTCTTCTGCAGGCATTATAGAAGCTTAAACAACATTATGTTTTAAAAGCAATGTATCTAAGAATCGTATTCTCTGGCAAAAGGTAGTTTATAGGAGTAAGGACTTATGGTTAAACTATCACCTCTTTCCAACAAAATGTTGAATAAAATATTCACTCACTCATCTCACTCTCCCAATGTTAATCTCTAAGGAATATCTAACAAAATGTTTCAAGTGACTAGAATAGTATTTTTAAGGTTACACGTTATGTTTGTCAGCATTTTATGAATACCATCTTCATTAATCAATATGTCAGAACTGATGTGCTTTCTCTGTTGGCCAATGAAAAATGTCGTATTTCTGTGTCTGTTTCAGCCATAATTGCTCTATAATCTGTTCCCTCCAATGCACTGCTATTTTATTTTGACCCTGATAGAAAAGTGTGACGTTGTTCACATCCATACAGAAATAGTCTTAAAAGAATATGTTTAAAAAACTGTATTGTTAATATACATTTCTTTAAGAAATTGTTGATATTGAAGGTTGCACACCACAAATTAAAGAAGAAAATAAAAATAAAAATAAATATATATATATATATATATATATATATATATATATATATATATATATATATTCATGGTGGAATTGTTGTCACCTTCCTAACAGCCAAATAATCAAAGTAAATAACAGATGAGTTTAGTTTATCAATCATTATTGATTCGAGCTCGTGACTTCAACCGGCCAAGCCTTTTTAATTTCATGACAAATATGTCAACAAATTCTTTCCAACAATAATTAGAAATATATAGAGGAGATGAACAAAATTGGAAATGCATTAAAATAAAATAAATATTAATTACTAGTGAAAGAATCATAAGTAATATAGAAAGGGTGTATTTAAATAAATTACTAATTCACCTTTAAAGTAAATTCAATAAAAAAGTTATCATTAATTAATTAACAAGAATTTAAACTTTAAAATGAAGTTGAAGAAGGATTATTGTATAAATATATAAATTGCATTAGAAATTTAAAACAAAGCAAAAGAATTTAATTGATAATCTCAAGATGTGAAAATAGAAAACAAGATATATCTTTAGTTATTATTATTTCAAATTCAGAGTATATTCTACCGTCTCAAATCCTCATCCTCTCACACTTTGGTAGTTTAGTATGGTATAAAAGAGAACAGATTTGACAATTCAAAACACAGAATATTTGTGGTATTTATAGAATTCTATCCATCACAGAATTTTAGAAATATGGTAAGTAAATGATGATGAACTTTAAAATTACTTATCTGACAAATGGGTGAGAATGGATCATATTTACATAATGTGGTTTAAACCACTGTTTTAATGGGTTAACTACTTCAAGAAGTAAATAAGTTATTACACCTCACATCTCTAAAAATAGAAATCATAAATCATTTTATTGGAGTCTATTAATGTCCAAATCACATTAACATTATCCATGTGAATGGGGTGGCTTTCCATTTATTCTAAGACACATAACTTAATTTTGATTATGTTTTTGAATTGTGTAACAAATGAAACATGTTAATTATAGAACACTAAAGCTGCATGTGATGTAACTAACCCTCATTTATGAATGATCATCCAATGTAATGCCCCAAAGACTTACATGTGACTTGATTTATATGAACTAATCATAACCTCAGCTATCAAACCTACAACTTAAAACATTATTATTATGATTTAATATTTCAACATATTATTGGCACCCTTATTAATTATATGTCAGTAGTTTATACTCTACTGCACATTTGTCAAAGTCTCCTTCAATAAAATTCATGTGATTCGATTAATTAAGATATAGAATTTTAAATCTTAGTACTTCTTATCAATCTCAATAGAAAATATAGTAATTTAACATGAATAAAGATTTACCTGACTTGGTAGAAATGGGATGTACGGCTAGGTATAAATATATATAGAGATGAGGATTGGTCTTCGTGAACAAAGCTTGTGTTTTCTTTGATGTATTTAGGGTTTATGCTTTGTACAACAGAATAAATTATATGGGTTTAGGGTTTCATGTTTAGTATTTACAGTTTAGGAATTCCTCTGTATTTAATTGGATGTTTATCTAATTTGGGCTTTAAATTTATGTAGTGAAAAAAATGCATATACAATATTTTGATAGTATGGATTGTGCTAAGTAGTATTTGAGAGTTCAATTTATGCATATCCATAGTTATCAAGTAGGAATGGTAACAATATAAAAGTGTATATTTATATTGATCACATCAAGTTACAATATTAAAAGTGCATTATTTGATGTAAATATGTTGTGATTTATATAAATATTGCCTTAATCATATAATAAAAAAGATTTATTGACATAAATATTTTATTCATATGAGAAAAATACACTTTGACAGTGTAACTTGATGTGATCAAAAGCTACATTACAAAGGTAATAATACTAGATAACAACTTAGATTAAATAAACGATCTCAAGTTTCATTAACTCTAAAACATATTTTGTTTTTCAATACGAATCGAACCCTATATCAATACAGACAATGAAATAAGTGTACATACAACTGATACAACTTGTGGACTTCTAGTGTACACTCTTAATAGTTTAGGAATAAAAATTGATAACATTGGGGAAGAAACAATCTCAACTTGATTCATCGTCATTCTCAGTTTGGGCAAAAGAAGAACGGGCAAGACAACTTGGATACTTAAAGGGAAGGGTTGTCAGAGGCTTATCATCAGACAATCCCTGGCAGGCCAAACCAAAGGTGTATCCCATTGCAAGAGCTACAGGAACAGCAACAGCATTTCCAACTTGCATGTACCTGTGGAATCGGAATACCACAACGGAGTTAGTTATAACTTGTGTTGGTAAAAGAGACAAAGAATATTCAATGGGTTTTGAACCCTGCTAAACATACCTCTCTTTGATAGGCCCACAAAGTTTATAACAATCAGGAAACCCTTGTAGTCTTGCATTTTCTCGTATTGTTAGCACTCGGTTTTGTGTAGGATGGAGAATTACCTACCATAATATAACATTTGAGTTCAGACAATGCATGCAGAAGAACCAAGAGAAAACTACTACTCACATAACCAATCCAAATGGCTAAGATGGCAACATGATTTTCATTATAACTTCAAATGCAATATAATTAATTTAGAGAGTTTATGCTGATATATTTCCAATGAGTGGTATTTGTTTACCAAATCAAATCAAACAATGTTGTACAAAGTGAAAATAATAACCTGGTTGTGAGGCTCAGCCCTTGTAACCACTGTTGACACAATCTCGTCCCACCACAAACGACCAAATGGCCTATGTTTCGCCCAGCAAGTTACATTAGAATTTTGATAGAAACAACTAAAAACATAATAGAGACCGCGTGATATGCACATATACTTACTTAGAAGAGGTCCCGCGGACAAATGACATTGCATAATCAGGAACCTGTCCATGAACATAATATAAATATGAACTAGAGATATATAATAGTATTCAACAAGGACTGCAGTCAAAATAATGTCTCCAATAAAGAAAATGTGACAAAAGACTAGTACCAAAGGCTTCCCAGAGTCTAGCTTCACTCTTTCAACCGATGGATCCCATTCAACTTTGTTGTCCTTCACCAGTACTCCAGGTAGATCTCTGAAGTTTGCACCCTAGAAAAATTACCAAGCACCATCAAAATCAGAGAGAATACAAATAATTCTTTTAACAAGGTTAGTTATGGAACCTTTTTCTGGGGAATCCTACAAACTCTGTCATAATCATCTTGGTTCAATTGCAGAGGACAATGATCATACAATATTCTACGTGCTGTGCTTTGAGCACTAATCAAATTACCCACCATCTCTTCAAAAAAGAAAACATATAATGTCAATATCGATGTTGTACGGTGGAATTATGTACATGAAAGCAATACCCCATTAAACTAACTACAGTCTATATGTCAATCATCACAACATGATTCTAGACATGACAAAAACAAATACAGAGCAAAAAATATTCAACCATGAACATAGAGATTTAGTTTTTCACACATATAAAGGCAAGGCCTTAAACCCAAGTATAAACAACATAAACATAAACATCCTGTAAAACACAGACAAAAATATAAATACAAACCGCTTTTCTTCAATCTAATGTATTTTTGAAACTCAGTACGAGCAGCAGTTCCATAGTTTCTTTCGTCCTGTTTCTCATTATTTGTAACCTAATTGAGTTAAAAAATAAAAAAATAAAAAAACGAAAAACAGGGATTAACATTAAAAGTCCATATTAATCCAAAAAAACTTAATTAACTAATGTACTTCAGAGAACATACAGGTGGGAGATCTGATATTGCATCCTCAAGTAAAAGAGCGTCACCTAGCTGACACGTTTCCTTTGTATCATAAGCTACTGTAATTTCCTGCATTGTGAGTCAACTATTAGTCCTTACACTTCAAACATAGTTAGATTAAAGTCAAGACAACGCTTTTCAAGGAAAAGGAGAAAATATGTCTTAATCTACTAGTCCTTACTTCAAACTCGGTGGGTACGAAACCTCGTGACACCACCTCATGCGTTGGTAACGGATACGGAGGCAATTTCTATCCAACAAAAAGTAATCAAGTCAGTTAACTTCCATTTACAACATTAACATTATCTCACCAAAAGAACAAAAAGTTTAAAAGAATTAACAATAAAAATTTTACCTCTGTAGGAAGAGCACCCCAAAGGAAGACACGCATACGAAATTGTGGAAGGCCATAAGACCCTGCTGCCATCATGCCCAATCTTGCTTGATAATTCATAGCCACTAGCCGGCCTATGGCATAACGTCCCAAATAAGCACCAGAAAACTTCAAAATGTCAACCACATTCTCCATGAGGACATATTTTGGTTTCAAAAAATCAATAATATCCATGTAAACAATCAACTGCTTGTTTTTTATATCCTCTAATGGAGCTGCTGCGTTTCTAAAGCGGTTAAAACCGCTTACTCCTTGACATGGGGGTCCTCCGCAAATAAAATTAGCATCACCCTGAAAAAGGGTCAAGTGTTACAAAATCAATTGAAAAATCATTACAAGTAATAGTGTGTGGGCCAAAAATGGAGAAACTCTTACAGGAAGAGGTAATAACTTCTTCTTGTACCCTTTTGTCACAAAATCTTTCAAAACTTCCTTGCAATCGCTGGTACAAACAAAACCAGAGTCAGAATTTCACAAAGATTTGAAGTAAAGTGTTATGTAACAAATAAAATTTTCACAAAACAAAGCTCATGAGAAGGGCTTACCTCAATCCATCTATTGGCTCCCATGTGTCGTAACTGGAATCATAACCCATCCAACGAACCTGAGTGATTTAAGAGCAGAAGACACGACAAATTGATCATTAACCGAAAAATTAAATTAAGAAGAAAAATGAAAGAAACTAAATTAACACTTGACATTTGAATAGAATAAAATCCAATTAAATGGGGACATGCTGTCAAAACCTAAGTCACCTCCCTTGACAACCAATTGTTTGAGTTGATTTCTAAAGGTGCTCTTGGTACTCACCTCAGCTCGTAAGATGAAGACTCCAGTTTAAGTATCAAAGTTCTAGCACTTGATTGTAATTCGTTAAAAGTGATTTTAAAAGTCAGTATCAGCTATTGAGTGTTTTTAAAATTAATATCAAACTGTATTTAATTTCTTTTCAAAGGATTAATCGTATCTATGTCCTACATTTGTCTTAATTGCTACCTATCTTATCGCATCAAGTAATAATCATAGTCATATCTATGCAGCAAATGTTTCACCATTTTAAGAACTGATATCTGCCTAAATATAGACATAATTCTTCTTGCATGCCTTCATCAAATCAATGATTTAAATCACCTAATTGACACTCTTTATCACCAAATTGCATGCCTTGATTGTGTGCGTGTGGTGTGTTATAACCTAATTGACCTAATTGACACCAATTAAATTTAAGAGGATGATAGGATGAGCAAACAACTTTTCCGTGAATAAGCCAATCCTAACAACACTGACAACATTGGACTAAATATGTAAACCAATTAATTTATTGTGTAAGCTTGAAGGCAACATACTTTAAAATATAGTCCTGGTTTCTTGACGTTGTTTGGATCACCATGGCAAACAGCAAGCAACTTTTCAACTTCAAAATCCTCAGAGTCAGAATGATTTTCTTCTGACTCGTTTTTTATTACATCAGCGGCTTCATCATCAATTTCATCCTCCTCCATGTCAGCGCCAGAATCTGACCGTTCTGATCCTAATAGCCCAAATTCTTCACAAAGCTTGGCCCAGGCTTTTATTAGCTCCAAAAAGTTTTCAGCAGGTTCATTTCTAACCTGAATGTTATTTTTGGGTAGTATATCAGGACAAGACTGAATATACTATAAAATTTGTCAATTAAAGCATGTTAACAAAACCTTACCTGAGTTTCAGGATGGTTCAGCTTCAAACTTTTACATGCATGGGCATTAATGTCTACAGCCCACCTCTTTAAAATCAAAATACCAAATCATTATAAATTGCTCAAAAGAACAGACAAATGAACCAAATTGCTCAAAACAAAAGCTCTACATACCGTGATAAGTTTTACTCCAGCCAAGGATGCACCCAAACAAAGCCCCGTGGACATGGCTCCACAACCAGAATACAAGTCTAGCAAAGTCCACTCGGACGAATCAGAGCTGTTCTTTTTAACAGGCTTTCTATTAGATAGTTTAGCACCATTAAGGCAGCCACTAGATCCAGATTCACTAGAAATTGTGGATAATGTATCGCTCTCGCCTTTAGCTGTTTCTGGATTATCAGAGGAAGCCACATCAAAAGGTAAAATTTCGGCAAAGTGTAGAGTAAAAACAGTAGAGATAGTGAGTCGTGTAGTAATAGCATACAAAACATCATATCAATCCTACCATTGACAAAATTGGAAAAGGTTAGGTACGGCAAAGTGTACTGCATATCATAATAGTAATCGCAAGAGGGAATTTTCCTTTTCTTTGTAGTCAAACCTACCTGTAGTATGCAAATTTCAAACACTTTTAACCACATTAAAAAGGTATAACATGTCTTTGTAAGCATTACAATAAACTATTCTTTCAATATATTCTTATCAGATAATAACACATTCATAGACTTGATCATACAGTTTGTTGATATCAGCTCAAAGGAGCTAATCTTGAGTAGAGTATCAAATATACTGATTAATTTTCCAACCACCTGAAACAAAATTCCCGATTGCCAAGCAATTGCACAAAACAATGTAACAGCACCACACCACTTACATTTGGGGATAATTTAACAATTTTTACTTTCGAAACAATACAGTCAAGCGGATTATCATCTTTTACATCAGATAAAAACACCCGTTTCTTGTCCACAAGATCACCGTGGTTTTTTATAACCTGCACACATTCAAAACTTCAAAAATGAGTTAATCAAAATAAAAGATAACAAATAACAAAAACCAAAAAAATAAGTCATGAAAAAGTGAATCTCACTGTGTCCTCAGCCCTATAAAACCACTGAGCCATAAAATACTGTTCATTATCAACACTTTCAAACATCTCAACAATGCGTGCAATATAATCAGGTTTATCATCTTCAGCCTGAAACAATTCAACAATAACGTCAATTTTTTAACATACTCTGCTTTCACCAAGCATAGCACAAACAAAATTCCACAACAAAACTCAAACCTTGACATAAGCATCGTCATAGAGGTTAAACACAACCCCATCTATTTTAGCTTGTCGATAATGACACCGCGCCAAAATAACCTCACTGTCTTCACTAGCAGCCCTACACAGTAATAAGCAACTACTAACATTGAAATTATACCTCCTGTAAGAAATATAATAGAAAAATGCAAAATGAAATAAAGTACTAACTCTTTTGAGCTGCTTCCAGATGAAGCCTTCTTTTTCCCCTGATCATTCATGCATAAAAAAAAAAAAAAAAAAAAAAAAAAGTAAGCAGAGAATAAAAAAATAATTATAATTAACAATTTTGATCGGAAGTGTTGAGAATAAGACCTCGGAAGGATAACGGTGGGGCCACTTGGCAAGGGCTTCAGTGGCCGGAATTGGTTTTCCGACGAAGCAGGCGCCGGGATTAGGGGAAGAACGCTTAGCCTTCTTGCGTTGGGAAGGAAGCAGCGATACAGTGTCGTTTTCAGCATGGGATGTGGTGGATGCTCTACGTTTGGCCATGGTATCACTGCTTCCAGAACTGATAAACGGCGCAGGTGTTGGGAAGAGAAGTGAGGGAAGAATGAGAGAAGAGAGGGGTTTAAAAATGCTGCAAGGGCGGGAACTTCAAATTTCCGTGTAATTGTTGCGTGCACTGTACACACCACTATCTAATAGTTTTCCCTCTTTGGAAGCTTGGAAAAATAATAAAATGGAAAGAAAATATTTCCTTCAGGTAAAATATCTGTATTGCATTTATTTTGTTTTATTAATATGTGTTTTGGTATGCTACAGGTTAGGGAAGAGTTTCTTTCGTTAGAAAAATATTATCTTTTACTAATGAAATATCTCTCAGTTATGTTTTTCTTTTCTGTTCTTTTTTAAATAAATAAAATGTGTAGTGACAAAAGATAATAAGAATTTTAATTTTATATACATTTTTATTTACTTTTCATTTAATCCAAATTTCAATAACTCTTTATCTTTTTACCAAAACAAACGGATAATGTGGGAAAAAGTATTATATAAGTAGATTTTTTAAAATTATTGAAGTACATAATTTTTAAAAAAAATTATAGATTAATTAAGTCATGCACAATTTGAATATAAATTTATAATACAATTTAATTTTTACTTTTTTAAAAGATACAGAAGAAAAATACAGATTTTAGTATTAAGAGATGGTATTTTTGTATGATGTTTTTTTTTTATTGTTATGATTATTTTTTTCTTATTTTCTTCTTTTAATGATAATAGTTGTGATTATTACTTTCGTATAATTATTACTATTAGTTGTTATTATTATAAATAATAATAACAATAATCTATATGGTTATATAAACGATATTTCTTATGACAATTTTATAATATTATTTATAATAAATTTATTTTATCTTTTATCAAATAATAATAATAATAATAATAAAATAATAATCACTATCTCATCCCTTCATAATCATCTATTTCACTTAAAATAACTAGTCAATATCACATGTAGATTTTTAAAATTGAACAAATTCAGAACAAAAAAATAATCAAAACCAATTTTTAATTAATTTTTTTCTAAATTACATGTTTTAATTTGAATTTATGATTAAAAATTATAAATTAAACAAAAACTTAAAGAAATTACTTATTATATTTAAATAGAATATTATATATAATTACTTATCAACTAATAAATATAGATAATTAAAGGTTGTTTTATAATTTATTATTATATTGAATTTTTAATATACTTATATTATTATAATTTCAGACTGTAATTTTTAATTATAAAATTTACTTATAAATATAAGAACAATTAAAATTATAAATATAAAAATTGAAGATTGTTTTATAGTTTTATTATATTTATGATAAAAATAATAATAATATTATATTTTTTATGATAACAGAAATCATAAAATTGATTCAAATCGAATTACAAATGTTGATTTAAATTTTATATTAAATTAAAATCAAAATAAACTATATTTAATTTTTAAATTTTATTTAAATAATTATTTGATAAAAAAATCAAATCAAACCAATTATTAAACACTTTTTATATGACATCTCAAAATCATACTAACATTAATATTTATTGAACAATTTCTTTGTGAAATGGTTATATTAATTATTTTTAAAAATAATAATATTTTATTTTATTTTAAAAATTAAAATCAATATAAACATTAAATTATAATTCATTAGAAACATGATAAAATATATGAATACACATGTACACTAACATGTGGTTATACTAGTAAAAATAATAATAATTTATATAATTATATATACGTTCATAATTGTTTTTTTTTTTTATTTGGTTCAAATTTGTACAACGGTTTGTATAATTATATAAGGGATTTTATTTTATTTTTCTCCTTCTCACTCCATCTTGTTATTCTCTCCTCTTACTTCCAAAAACTTATTTTATTATGTTTTGGTGAATTCTCATCCCAATCATAACTATTATGTTCTATTCCAATATTCAATTCAATTCATCATTCCCAGTTACACAATTTCTTGAAAACACAACACTACTTTCAATTTATCTAACTTGATTGGAGAGGATTAATTATTCCCCTTTTTCTTATTCACATATAACAATTTTAAAATAATAAATTATTAAAAGAGAGTAATTAAATAGATAAAGTAATAAAATAAAAATCATTAATTACTTTTTTTCATGTCATTTAATTAATTAATTGCTTTCTTTCACAAATTAAAACATTTCTTTAATTAGTGTTTTTAGTTATATTAATTTCATCATAAAATCTATATTTCTCTTAAATTTTAAATAAAGTTAGTAATAACTCTTATATAACCTTTATTTTATTAATATTTTATATATTAGTATATTTTTTTATTAATCAACTAATAATATTATATTTTGGTAATTCATAGATAAGACCATCTTATAACTCACATCAATAATTTGCATAAATAATCGATAAACCATGTCAAAGTAGCAATCCACGTGCAATAATCTAAATGGGTAATTCACATGTTTTATCAGAATAACCTACTAGTAATATTTTGAGTGAATAATCAACTTACGATATTATTTAATGATATAATTGATGTTTTTAAAATTATTTTTATTTATATTTATATTATTTTTTAATTTTCTTTTTATTTTATTTTTTATAATGATAATAAAGTTCTTATATTTTTTTTATTATAAATTTATTTTATTTTGTTTAAATTTTTTTTTTTTTTTTTAAATGTATGAAATGAATAGGTGAAAAATATAAGAAAGAGAAAATGAGTAAGTGGATTAATAAAATGATAATAATTAAGAAAAAATTATATAAAATAAAGAATAATAAATGTTCCATGTTAAGATAAGATTTTTTTTATAATTTAAATTTTTTTTAGAATAAACTAAAAACTCATGTTTAATAACTATAGTTTTAAAACTATTTTATGAATGATAAAACGAAAAAAAATGTTTTTTTTTTTTAACTTGCTTGGTTATAATTTATTTTATTAATTATTTTTTTAACTAACAGGCTTCATTAAAACTCTGTGTTGTTTACAGTGAAAGTGAAGAATGAAATAGGAAAATAAGGTAATAAGGAATGACAAAAGAAATATGGTGACTTCAATTTTTACAACAGAAAAGTAGAAAGTAAGAAAAATATGATTTTTACAAAATTATTTTCACTTTATTATTTATATGTTTTACTACTTCAATTTATATATATATATATATATATATATATATATATTAATTATTAATTTAATAAAATGTCATAAATATAAAAATAGTTATAAAATAAATAAATTAATTAATATTTTTATGTGATATTATTTTATTAAATTAAACTCAAATATTTGTAGAAAATATAATATTATAAGAAAAAAATTTATAATTATATATCAAAGTATATATTACTAAAAATTGAGATATTAATTTAAAAATATATTAGGTAATTTTATAATCGAATAAAGATTTGTTTTTAATTTAATTATTTATTTTTCACCATATTGCATCTATCTTTCCTTTTTTTTATCTTTTTCCAACTTCCCTTCTTTATTATCAAATAAAGTCTAAATATGAAAAAAAAATTATTTCTTTACAGAGAACTATAACAAGATTAAAAAATATATATTAAAAACTAAAAATAAGTTAGACAAAAGAAGTCTCATTGTAGCTGCTTCCTCTGTTTTTTTCATATATATATATATATATATATATATATATATATATATATATATATATATATATATATATATATATATATATATATATATATATATATATATATATATATCGTGAGATGTTATTTCAAAATATATTATCATGGTTCTAATAACTATATCTCTATTTGTATATATTATTTGTTATATATTTTGTAATATATAATATGATTATTGTTAATTCAATATTCCAACTTAAACCTATAAGATTTGTTTTGCTTATCAATGTCAAAAATATTTTATTATTATAAAAGGATAATTATATTCTAAATATACATTTTGTTCATATAATAATGTTTTCAATATTATTTTACAATGATTAATATAACTATTGTGAAAGAGTGACGTAGTATATGACAATAATTATTTCATTCTCAAAGTTTTTATAATACAATAAGTTAGTAATACAATCAGTTACCAAATGGAACAAATTTTGAAATATATTATTATCAAATGATACAAAATTTAAAATTAAAATATATTTTATTCCGCTTAATCTAATTAATTTTATCAAGTTTTAATGATAAGTTAAGTTTATGATTATTGTCAAATATTTTGATTAATTTAAATCAAGCACTCAAAGTAACATAGGAAATATACTCTCTCAATTTATATGAATTTAGTTTAATATTATTTAAAATTTATTTAATTAATTATATCCACTTGTATATATTTATCTTATATTTAATAAAGATATGTTTTGAGATAAATTTATACATATTGATAGCATCAATGAAAGAAATATATATAAATTATATTATTATGATTTGCTCTAAACATATAGTAATACAATTGAAATATATGTTATGTGGTAAACAAAAAATTTACCAATCAAAATAATTTTATTATTTAACATGAATAATTAATCAATACAAATATACTAAAGAATGCTTATAAATTCATTTTTACACCTACTTAAGAATTAGAAACTTTGTAAGTTAAATAATTTATTATTACTGCATGTTTATAAAAGAATACCACCATCGTCATAAAGTTAAAAAAGAAGAAAAAAATTTATTATATTTTTTAAATTAATATAAGGTGATATTTGTGAATAAATATATTTATTATATAGATCATTTATATATTTTATGATTTTAATTAATGTATCAATTAAATGATATATATATATATATATATATATATATATATATATATTATCTATTCATAATTAGAAGTTTGTGAGCTGAAATAATTTGACTTTCAAATTAAGAAAATTTTTGTAAAATTAGAATAAATTTCTTGTAATTATTTATTCAAATATTTAATAATTAATATTAATTATTATTTTAGATTAATAAATTATTAAGAAATAATAATAATAAGAATGATTAAGTTTTTAACTTTTATTTTAAAAATTAAATTGATCCATTCTTTTATAATTTATATATTGAATTATTAAAATAAATTAATTTTATTAATATAATTTTAATTTATAATTTTTTATAATCAAATTAAATTTGATTTGTAAGTTTATTAGTCTTGGACACGGATAAATTAGGTTAAAAATTATGATGTATTTTAAAATACAAGTTAGACTAGTTATCAATTTTTTTTTAACTTGTCTCTTAAGATCATGTAGACCAAAATAAGTTGAGCTACCTATTTTGACAATTAATGATATTTATGACATAATATTAATTACTTCTCTAATTATTATGATTAAAAACTTAAAAGAATAATTAGTAAAATATAAAATTTAAACAAAATATTTTATGTGTACTTAATAAAATTTAAGCAAATCGTGTTATTGTAAAAAAACATAATTTATCTTAAATTTTAATATTTTGATCATTTAATTTTTTCCATATATTTATTATATTTAATTTTCAAAATAAAAACATCATATTAAAAATATATAAAGATTAATATGTTTTTACTATTTTTTTAAAATAGTTAAATTCAAAATAAAATGAAAATCTTCCGGTGTTTGAATTATTTATCTCACTTATTATAAATATGAACCTTTTTAAAATAAAAATATCATATACGAAATATAAATAAAAAAATTAATAAAAAAAGGTAAAAAAAAAAATCATTTCTCTCACTTCGTTTTTCCAAGTCTTGTATGATCGGTGGTGCAATGTAAAAAATAGTCAATTGCAAATTTACAGTCCGAGAGTAATTTTTTAAGTAAAAAATTTAATTAAATTACCTAAATTAAGCACATGTTGTGCCTAACTTAATATATCAAAGCAAATGAGTTTATATTCGGGAAAAAAAAAGCTAACAATCTAGTGCCATTGTTTAGTCGAAAGATAACCCAAATGAAAGCCATTAAACACACACCTTGCTAAGTGTATATGAATGTGTATATTTGTAGAAAATATACATATTACACATGTATTTCATGATTGAAATTGAAGGGTGAATTGAGATAGAAATAAGAAAATTTACCAAGATGTGATAAACCACGAATATAATACTTTAAGATTTTTGAAAATATATATCTAACATGTATTTAAGAGGAATTAACACGTACCATATCATTTATAGGGGACAATTTTCATCCTACCAAATTTAGAAAATAAGACATTTGAAAGTTGCCAAAAGTACTAAAATTCAAAATATTCATGGCGTGAGAAGATTAAGAAGTGACACCCTTTGTTGTATCATGCACCTAAAGAGACAATCTAGTCCTGCCTCCAATTCTCTAATGCTCCCTTCTACTTCCCCTAATCCCCTCTTTACAATTTGTATTTCAGTCTTGGAATCAATTTTCTTACAACGCTTATGGAAGGAGCAAAGAGCAACATCAATGTCCCCTAACTCATTGATCACCTTATTATCAACTCTAGTGGACACTATTCTACTGAACATTGACCACCCACCAATGTTTTTCTTCAACATTGGTGCACACATAAACAGTAAGAGTTTCTTGAAAAATGAGATGGTGATTTTGCTCATTTCTCTTAGCACATTGATCACAATTAGTAGATGGTGGTCAAAGTCTAAGAGGGGGTATGAATATGATTTAAACCCATTATCCATTGTCTTCAATGCTTTGAGCCTTTTTCTCATGTCTTTTCTTGCCCTCTTCCTAAAACAAATGTAAGCACAAATCTGGCTTTTGACACTTGAATCCACACCCTTTCTCCGCAAAGCTGATTGAAGATCCAGCACATGTTCCTTCATAAGTGTCAACAATTCTCTTGCTGATCCACATGTGTCAAGCAAATAAACTGACATGTCAAGTGGCTTCTCTACATGCTTTCCTTCATGGCTTATAAGAGCTTGCTGAGTGAGTGGACAACCCACAAGTTCCTCTGCACAATTATACAACTCTGCAAGTCCTTTTAGACCTTCTTTGATAGCCTCACTTTGTGATTGTGATGAGGCTTCCCATGTCTTCATTCTCTTGAGCACTTCTTCAATTTTGGGTAATGAAGACTGTATTCTACAAGGCAAGCTAATGGATCTAACATGGTAGTGGAATTCCTCAGCCATTTATGTTGTTAATTGTTGAGAACACCAATGAATTACAGGCTTGGAATAAGACATATATATAGAGGATGAGACCATCATGGACCCTCTGCCAAGTAATATGTTGTATTCATGTTGTACAAGTAAGTAACCCCAAACCAACATTGAAGATTTTATTGACATTTCAATCAACAATTTTCAGAACCAAATGTTTTGTTTAGTCTCTTGGTCATTCCACTGGCAACATATGGTGCATAACAAATTTGTTTAGGTGCTAATTGGAAGAACAACACTCGTCATTGTCTCCTCAATAATTGGCAGAAGGATCTCCTTGAAAGATTCAATTGAAGCAGTGGCATTTGTTCATGAAATCCACAAGGTAACAGTGCATGATTTTTTTTTGTTTTTAATGATAATAAAATATAACAGTGTACATAAAAGAGGATAAGAAATGGTAAAACGAAAATGACAAAGAAAACAGGATCTAGCACGAAATGTAGAGTGAGAATCTAGGTTTTGGTGTGAGAATATGTATAGGGTTATTCCGTCAAACACCAATAATGCAAATACATTTTTTATGTTTTTGGGTATTAAATTCTAAACTTGTATTCCATGTGCTGAAAGATTCCAGACACTTTATGTCCGGCTCCCTATAATATAAGCTACGTACAACAAATAGTGTGTTGTGTGTTGGTTAATCTTTAACCCTTGTATATATATATTTTTTTATAACTAAAAAAATAAAGGTTTTTTTTTGTCTTCTTAGATCAGAAATTAATCTTCGTAATATTGTAATTATAACCAATCCAACAATTTTTTGTATATAAGAAGATCAAATGCGATTTTACGTTGGATAAGTTGTTCTCACAATATACAAATGTACGATATTTAGTTATTATGTCAATCTAATTTGAATTTCATGTAATAAAAAAAAACACTCTTGTAATTGAATTATTTTCTGAATACTAGTTTAAATAAAATTGCCTTTCGTAAAACACAGATGATCTTAAATATTTACTTGCTTCCATTGGATAGAAACTTATTTAAATAATTTGTACTTGCTTAAACTCATGGAGCTTACAACATAGGGAATAATGTTCTTATTACTAGTTTGGTGATGCAGTTATGGGCCAAAGGGCCTTTGGTTACTACAATCCAAGTTGGAACCAGAAGGGAGCCCCAGAACGTCACAGTACCTTTTATAAAACCCAATCCTGTCATTTGAGCTTGAAGTGGGACCATTCCCACATTCAACTCCACCATTGATGATGTTGGTAATCACACCATAACCTGGAACTCTATTAGCTGCAATGTCAGCAGAAGATGGGGTCCACCTGTTAGTGATGACGTCATGGCAGGAGGGCTTATTACCCTGTGGGGTCATCCAGAACCATATAGCTGCCTTGAATGACACCACTGGGTTTTGGGCTACCAAGTCTGGATTGTTTATCAAGTCCAATTGTAAGCCATTTCCAGCTAGAGCATAGTTGTAGTTGCTATTTCATGAACACCAAAGATATCAGTAACAACATAGTTCTAGTTTTTTCAACTTTATTTTAATCAAACATGCTTTATTTTAAACCACTCTGAAGATAGGTTTTGATGTGAGAAATATGTGTGCACTTACTGTGTCAACTGAAGGGGTCCTCTGCCATAATATGACTTCCCTAGGGCACATGGTCCTACGCCATCACAGTATTGTTTGGACTTATCTCTTTCTGTAACAAAGCAATAACCCCAAGCATATGGCCCATCTGGGGGGGAACCACCTCCTCCTCCTATCACACCCAAAATGTGTTATTTAATTATGCTTATTCATTTTATAAGAAAAGTATATAAGAGTGAAGAATATAACCTGTGGTCTCGTGAGAGGATTGGGCTAGGAAAGCTACAACCTCCCTCTTACGAGTGTTGAAATCACCTGTGGTGCCAAATGCACCAAAGGAACTAGCTGCTGTGACAAAAGCATTGTAGCTGTAGAACCCTTTACCCTCACAAAGTTGATCGTTTCGGTGTTTCAGCAATTCTTCGAATAGAGATGCACTGATAACGCTACCAACATCGTCTCCAGCAGCACTGGGAAACTCTGGTGAGGTTATAAGCAGCAAAATATAAACTAAGGTAAAGGCAAAGATAGTGTCTAACTTCATAAGTAGCTTTGTTTTATGAATTGTGACTGAGTGTACATGTGCTTGTAAGTGAGACTAAGAAGGTTGTTATATAGAGGCATCTTAGGAAGTACTCTCACTCTTACCTCTGTCGATATCAACCTTGGACTCTCATTTCACTTTATTGGTTATTTTGGACGGGAATTTAGTGGATAGATGTAATATTAATAAAACTTGAGTCTCTCCAACATAATAATTAACACCATTTTTAATTTAATATTAAGATATTAGGTTACCTATATTTTTTTATATATTAATTAATTTTTTTATTCTTATCCAATATGAGATATAAACTCACGTTTAGATTCTCAATCATCTTTATTTCAATCGTGAATTCTTTTATATAACTACATTCTTCAAGTATACTAATACTCATTCCATTTATCATTATTCATCGCCCACTTTATCAAAAAGATTTTTGATATAAAAAATACTCTAACACATTATCATATCAAGACTTTCGACATATAAACATTTTGATTTATAGTCAGTAAACTTTGACCCTGATACTATTTATTGGTTTTTTCAAGAATGTTTCACAATAGAAAATCATACAAATAAAAACCTGATCCAGGATTGAGATAAACCCAAAATATTAAGATAGGAGACTTAGACTGAGAATTGTATTTTCTATTTTTTTTTTTTTTTACATTACATCATCTTGAAAAATAATATCTAGCGACAGGATTGATTAGTCGATAGAGTTTGTTTTGGTTTGTGGAATGGGTCAATGTCTTTTTAAGAAAGGAAAGGGAGATATTTATGGGATGCCGTGTAACTTTTCCTATCCAAATTCTAACCCATGCATTACTTTGTCTGTCATTCATATCTTATTTGAATTTTTAAAACAAAAATCAATTAAAGACATATCTAGACTTTTTTTCATAAATAATACTGTTTTCAAAAATATTTACCAAAATAGTACATCTGCAACTTTATTTATACAACTAGCACTGTTTACTGTTCACGTAATAAAATAATATTATTTTGCGCAACGGTTTACTGTTCACGTATTAAAATAATATTATTTCGCGTACTGAACTCTCGCTCAAGCGAAGGAAACCTTCGCTTGAGCGAGGAAATCTGTAACGAAGGATAATCTGGGGTAAATTCTCACTCAAGCGAAGAAACCCTCGCTTGAGCGAAAAGTATGATCGATTATTATCCAATTATAGTCGATCACTTTGACATATATGACTTTACATAGCGGTTATATGGCCAACCGCTATCTAAACAACTACATTAGAAAGCGGTTAAAGCTAACCGCTATCTAATATATATTTTTAAAAGCGGTTGTTAGCAACCGCTATCTAAGGTGACTCGAGCGAAAATCACCTCGCTTGAGCGAGGACACCTGGAAAAATGGGGGACTCTCGGGTTCTTTATCGCTCAAGCGACATTATGAACGCTTGAGCGACAAGTGATTCTAATATGTGGTGAACCAAGTTATATTATTTGGCTAACTGCGTTTGGCGTTTCATGATTCGGTCATTACTCGCTCAAGCGACAAAGTCACCGCTTGAGCGATGAAGCCTTCAAACAAGGGGGACTCTCGGGTTCTTTTTCGCTCGAGTGAGAAACCATCGCTTGAGCCAGCAAACCTGCAAATATTTACAATGCTGAGTCACCCACCGAAGTCAGGATTCCCATGTCTTTCTGATGCACACAAGTAAAGAATCCAATACTGAGTTACCCACCTAAGTTAGGATTCCAATCTTGGATTCCCTGCATTGGGTTAGACAAAAAAGTAGAAACCATGTGAGGGAGCATTGGATTCCAATCTTAGACAAAATCTTGGATTCCAATCTTGGATTCCAATCTTGGATTCCCTACATTGGGTTAGACAAAAAAGCAGAAACCATGTGAGGGAGCATTGGATTCCAATCTTAGACAAAATCTTGGATTCCAATCTTGGATTCCCTGCATTGGGTTAGACAAAAAAGCAGAAACCATGTGAGGGAGCATTGGATTGAAACCAATGGACTTCATTATAAATAGACTACTTTCATTCTTTGAAGTTCTCACATTGCACACTCCTAAATCTCTGAAGCTATTTGCATTATTTCTTCTTCTTACCTTTAGTCTTCTTTGTGTTCCACACTCCTCAAATGGGTGTAGTGTCTACTATTGTCCACTATGATGGTTTCATGAACCCATGTCCCATGGAGGGAGTTACCTTCAATACTGGGACTGCAAAACTTGTTCCTTTAAAGAGAGGAATTTCTCTACAAAGGCTGAAGAAGTTGATCCACAAGAAATTGGAGAAAGAACCCCATGAAAATGTAGCAACCATCCATTTTCACTGTCCAACTAGACTCGGAGTTGGGATCAACAACTTCATTGCTGTTGAGTTGAAAGATGATGACGACGTGGAGGCCATGTTCGATGTGCATGATTCAAACTCAAGTCTATGTGGTATTGAAATTTTTGTTTCATTTAAAACTTCTTCTTCTTCATACCCCAACACACACTCACCAGAAATTTCACCCTTACCCTACCAAGCTTTGGCAAACACTCACCCAGAAATACCCACACATAATGACTACATCCCTTTGACCCAACTTCTAAGTGGCCCTTCCACCAACATCAACGAAGAACTACCTACACAAGAGAACGAAATTGTTGGCCTCCCAATTGAAGTCGTTGATCCTTTTAGTGAGGATGAAGACGAAGATGAAATTCTCAGCCAACACCAAGATGATTCAGAGGACGAACAACCACATATCCCTACACATGCACCAAACTTCATGGAACCATTCAACCCACCACAACATTTTCTTAACTTTGAAAATCACATTCAACAACAAGACCCGGAGTATGGTCATGCGTTGGACGAGAGAGTCTTTTATTTCTCCGGCGAGGAACTCTATTTCTTGGACAACGTTTCATAACAAAAGAACAAGTTCAAGATGTCATCAACCGTTTTCACATTGTCAATCACTTTGCACATACAAGGTGAAAATTTCAAACCAAAGTAGATATGTTGTTGAATGTGGTGATAACCAATGCAATTGGAGATGTCGAGCAATATTGCGTACAAGAGAGCAATATTGGGAGATTATGAAGCTTGAAGGGCACCATACATGCGTTTCGCCATTAATCGACCAAGACCACAACAAGTTGGGATATAAAATGATTTCCCAAATAATTGGTCAACTAATTGATGCTGATTCGTCAACACCAATATCCACAATCATAGCCCACATCCAATTAACAACGGGTTACACTATAACATACAGGAAGGCTTGGTTGGCAAAACAAAGGGCAGTGGAGATCATCTACGGCAATTGGGAGGATTCGTATAAGAAGTTGCCTTGTTTGTTACAAGCGATAAAACAATTTGTTCCCGGATTCATCTACAAACTGCAGTCACAACCAGCTTACCAAGGTGAAGTCCTTCAACAAAATTCCAATATTTTTAAACGTGTGTTTTGGGCGTTTAGGTCATGCATAGATGGATTTGTTCACTGCAAGCCCATTGTTCAAGTGGACGGAACATTTTTGTATGGAAAATATAGAGGTACCTTGCTGGTTGCAGTAGCACAAGATGGCCGCAACAACATCCTCCCCATTGCGTTTGCAGTGGTTGAAGGTGAAACAAGTGATGCCTGGTTTTTTTTCTTAAAAAACCTTCAAAGATATGTCACACCCCAGCAAGGATTATGCCTCATATTAGACCGACATGAATCCATTAGAAGTGCATACATGAGAAATGGAAGCGGATGGACAAAAAATAATTCAATGCATGTCTACTGCATTAGACACATTGCACAGAATTTTATGAGACATTTCAAAAACACCGCATTGAGGAAAGATGTTGTAAATATGGGTAATTCCTTTGCTTTAAATTTGTTTCAATTTATTCATTATATAATTGTTGCTAATAAATATTTATATTAACTATGTTTTTTTAATATTGTTGTAGCGTATGGGATGACTGAACCACGATTCTACTATTATTACAACATCTTGAGGCAATGTGACATACAAGCAGCTAACTGGTTGGATGAGATACCTAGAGAAAAATGGGCACTTGCATGGGACAATGGGCGACGTTGGGGCCACATGACGACCAACATAGCAGAGTCTATCAACTCTGTTTTGAAAAAAACAAGAAATCTACCTATTTGCTCCATGGTCACCGCAACGTACACCCGTTGCAACAAATTTTTCATTGAAAGAGGGAGGCAAATAGATGTCATCATCAATGCTTGGTCATGTATACTCCGAAATTTTGGACAAGAATTTAGAGGAAGCACAAACACGAGCAAACACGCACAGTGGTCATAACGTTTGACAGGTCTACCACAAAATTTGTAGTAGAAGAAACACAAAACCCGCGTGAAGTTCGACCAGCGAGGGAAGTTTGCGATTCACCTTGATGAGTTATGGTGTGATTGTGGGAAATTCCAAAAATTTCACATGCCTTGTTCACATGTTCTTGCTTGCATGCAAGCATGCACACCATGACTTCAACAACTATATTAATTCAGTGTATACCTTACAACAAGTTTCAAAGGTATACGGAACACAATTTGGGTTATTGCGAAATGAAGAATATTGGCCAACATACACAGGACCTACTTTGTGTGCAAATCCAGAAATGAAAAGAACTTCAAAGGGCCGACCAAAATCAAGTCGTATAAGAACTGAGATGGACATTACGGAACATCATAGTAGGATTAAAAAATGTTCATATTGTCATACCCCTGGTCATAGCAGAAGAACATGTCCTAATATTGCATGTGCATCTACTTCGCATCATTAGATTGTGTTAGTTAAGAAATGTCTCAATGTATGAAACTTAGGAGTTTTTCAATTAATTGAAAATGATGAAGATCTTATTGAATCATTTGATAAAAAGAAGATCTTATTCAATGTATGTTTAAAAAGTTCAAGCAAACTGATTTTAAAGAGTATTTTCATAACTGCTGCATTAATTAATCTGTTGAAAGTTTGTTTTAATCTGTTGAAATAGCCGTTTCAACTTCGTGCTAGATCAACAAGTCACCCGAGATAATTGAGTCGAAGATTTAGTGTGTGTCTTAACAGAAAGTTTAGGTAAAACCATTTTACCTTTTCTCGCGCATAAAGTTTCTTCATCATTTTGCAAAATGCCTCAAAAATAGTTTTAAACAAATAAAAAACAAAAGCATTTTGACAATGAACTTTCTTAATAATGTTTTTAACTGATATAGTTTTAAAAGAAACGATTAAAATCACTTAGAATGTTTAAAGAAGTGTTTTTACAGTATTTTAATCGATACAAACTTCTTTTAATCGATTAAAACCACTTTGGAAGTCAGGATAATCGATCAGAATGAAATTATGACCGATCAGAGTTAGTTATGATCGATCAGAATTGAATTATGACCGATCAGACCTATTTCAATCGATTAAAACGAATTTCAATCGATTAAAATGACTTGAAAATTTTTGTACAGAGTTTCAATCGATTAAAACGCGTTTCAACTGATTAAAACAACTTAGAAAAATTCTGTGCAGGTTTTTAATCGATTAAAACTTCTTTGTATCAGTTAAAATAACTTGAACAAGTTTTATAAGAAAGTTTTAAAGCAAATCAATCGATTAAAACGCGAATCAATCGATTGAATCACTCAGAAAATGTTTGTAAAATGTTTTAACTGATATAAACATGGTTGTATCAACTAAAAACATTCTGTTAAAAACAGTTTTGCTTGTCCAATGGTAATCTTGTCCAATGGTAATCTTGAAAATGTCAATCAGGGGATTGCTAAGAAGCGGAGGAGAGCTCTAGTGGCTTTTTCTCAATCTAATAAAAGTGCCATTTAATTTGACGCCCCAAAATACGAGAGCAACCTCCAAATTAAGAAATGGGTCCAGAGCCTTCAAGATCAAGGGCAGAAAGAAAGCTCGGATATTGAGGAAGGTCAGATTGTAACAGAAAAATGGGAGTCATCCACGGAGGAGGCTTCTGTATCCAGGAGAGATGCTTCTGAAGGTCCAACAGTGGCTGACAGTGTGAAGAAGAGAATGTCACAAAATGAAGGTAGTTCTGACCAATGCATTGGTGGATATAACGAGAATCCCCCATTTTTCCAGGTGTCCTCGCTCAAGCGATGTGATTTTCGCTCGAGTCACCTTAGATAGCGGTTGCTAACAACCGCTTTTAAAAATATATATTAGATAGCGGTTAGCTTTAACCGCTTTCTAATGTAGTTGTTTAGATAGCGGTTGGCCATATAACCGCTATCTAAAGTCATATATGTCAAAGTGATCGACTATAATTGGATAATAATCGATCATACTTTTCGCTCAAGCGAGGGTTTCTTCGCTTGAGCGAGAATTTACCCCAGATTACCCCTTCGTTACAGATTTCCTCGCTCAAGCGAAGGTTTCCTTCGCTTGAGCGAGAGTTCAGTACGCGAAATAATATTATTTTAATACGTGAACAGTAAACAGTTGCGCAAAATAATATTATTTTATTACGTGAACAGTAAACAGTGCTAGTTAGTGTAAATAAAGTTGCAAAGGTGCTATTTTGGTAAATATTTTTGAAAACAGTATTATTTATGAAATTGCCCCACATATCTAATCTCAATTATTTGAATTGAATTTCATATATAAAAGTGTGAATTTGAATTTAAAATAAATCATTAAATTAAAATAAACAAACTTATAAAAAGGAGTGGAGTATGTGAAGTGACAGGTAAATGATCAATTATAATAGCATATTCTCCACACAATTGATAATTAGTATATGTTTTTCTTATCTTTGTTGAAACCAAACGTGCTTTATCATTGAAATTATAAAGAGGTTGTAAATCATATTTTAGGAAGGGAAAGAGATTGGGTGGAGGAGTGAAAAGAAAGAAGAACAGAGTACGACCCCAAGTCTAATCCCCTGCTGCATTTCAAACGGATGAAATTGGCCCATGTTTTTCAGATGTGAAGATCCACACCAAAGGAAGGCCAGTTCATGAAAAGGCCTTTATGTGGCTTTAATGGGCTAAAAAGAACATTAAACGGACCTATACAAAGTTAAAAAGGCAAAATGGGTTGTGTTTTAATGTTAATTTATCTGCTTTTATTATTTAAAATTAATGCTTTGACTATAATAATAGAAGAGATTTCTGAAGAAACTTGAAAATGTCTCAAAGGCATAATTTTTATTCTTATTCATATTATTGATCAACTTATGGGAAGTACAACCAAACCAAGAAACCACCCAACATGTTAACCAAAAGGTTTTTGGTCTCTGCAATTCAAGTTAGGACCATAAGTGATCCCCAGAATGTCACAGTACCTTTTGTAAAACCCTATCCTATCACCTGAGGCTGGAGTAGGACCTTTCCCACATTCAATCCCACCATTGATGATGTTGGTGATCACACCATAGCCTGGGGTTCTATTAGCTGCCACGTCAGCAGCAGATGGGGTCCACCTGTTTGTGATGACATCATGGCATGAGGGCTTATTACCCTGTGGGGTCATCCAGAACCATAAAGCTGTCTTGAATGATACCACTGCATCTCTGGCTACTAAGTCTGGATTGTTTATCAGGTCCACTCCCAGGGCTTTTCCAGCTTGCGCATAGTTGTAGTTGCTGTTTCTCAAACTCATCAAAAATCAATATCAACACAAAAACAATTCTAATTAGAATAATGCATGCAAACACAGGTGCCAATGTTCTTACTGGGTCAGTTGAATGGGCCCTCGACCATAATATGATTTTCCAGAGGGACATGGTGCGTTGCCATCACAATACCTGTTGGATTTATCTCTTTCTGTCACAAAGCAATAACCCCATGCATATGGACCATCTGGTGAAGTTGTTGCTCCTCCTGTATCACACAATCACATCAAAAAAATCTCAAGATAATGGTATAAATGTCGTTGCAACACGAGAGACATCACAAATGGAGAAAGAAAATGATTAACAACATTAATACCTGTGGTTTCATGAGAGGTTTGGGCTAGGAAAGCTGCAACCTCCCTCTTACGAGTGTTGGAATCACCAGTGGTTCCAAACGCACCAAAGGATCTTGCAGCGGTGACAAAAGCATTGTAGCTGTAGAACCCCTTGCCCTCACAAGCTTGATCATTTCGGTGTTTCAGTAATTGCTCAAATAGAGAAGCATTAATCACACTTCCAACATCATCCCCAACAACACTAGGAACATATGATGAGGTTACAAGGATACAAGCTAGTGTAAAGGCAAAGACACTCTGTAACTTCATATTTTCCTTTCTTTTATGTCATGAATGAGACTTCAAGCTTATATATAGTGTCAAATTCTATGTCTTTCCTTTCATGTTTCCTTAAAATAGGCTATGTGATAACGTCTTTAAAAAACTAGCCCCGGACACAGAGACACAAAGTTATGTAGTGAAACTGAGTTGATTGTGTTTTCGTTTGTTTGTGGGATTCGGTGGGAAGAGACTCCTTTCATGCTTTTTGCTTCTTCTTCTTTTTCTCATCATTATTTTATTCATTGTTCTTCTATAAAATGAAATATTTTATGTCTGAGTTGTGGATTGAAATCAATAGAAGAGTAGATATGAGTGAAAGTGAGTTTTAACATATTCATAAGATATGATGAGTTATATTGTAAATATATTATTAGATACATTAAATGAAAATAAAATATAATAAAGAATGAGTCAATGGCTTAGATTTTCGAAATGAGAAGGAAGAGGGACAAAGGGGTATGGAGTGAATGAGTTCGTTGGAATTTGATGACGTTGTTGGGTTCCGTTGTGTTTGTAAAAATTTAGGACAAAAAAAAAGCTTATTTCATGATCTAACTTTTTCTCTTTTGGTCATATATCAAATGGAAAAATATATATTAAAAAATGAATCTTACATTTTCAAAGAGGAAAAGAAGGAGAAAAAGAAATTATGAAATAAAGATGAGTTGATTGTGTTTTTGTCGCAATATTATATTCATACTTCATACCTCATATTTTATAGTTATGATAATACACTGTTAGAATTTTCTTATTTATATATATATATCATTAAAAAAAAAACATCACTTCACATTTTGGGTTAGATTAAGAAAAAAGAAGAAGAAAAACCTCTTTTCTCCTGCTAACTTTGGAAATGGTACGAAACAAGGTCTTTTTACTCAATACATGCAAAGTAATTGTCTCCCCAATTCAATAATTTTTCTCTCTCTTTTTCTTCTCTCAAAACATTTTGTGACTTGTTTTTCAGTTTTTTTTTCTTTTTTTAGTTTAACTTGTTTAAAGACTATTTTATCAAAATAAATTTTATTTTTTAACTTTTTAAAAAACTACAAAATTTAAAATTGATAAAACATATTTTCTATATATTTTTTAATAATATTCATGCAGTTATCAATAGTTGTTCTACATCGTCCATCTTTATTGTTATGAAATTATTATTTTTTTGTCACGGTTGTTCATTTTAGTTGATATCGTAAAATTTGTAATCGAAAATCCTCTAATTTAAAAAAAAAAATCTACAATCAACAATTTGTTTATCATGCATGATGAAATATTTATTTTTCATCTTTTAAAATATCATACTCTACTAGAAATTCTTATATTTTATAGGAATATTTTTATAAATTTTTTATAAAAATTGTAAGAGATAAATCTGTTACAAATTTAAATTAATTTTGACAAGAAAATTTGCAAGAAATAAATAATTTTTTAGTAGTGATATTCCATCAATATAAAAACATTTATTTTTTTATCAAAACATAATGTTGGTGTTTTTATTTAATTAATAGTAAAAAAAGTATGCTAATAATCCATGAAAATAAAATTGTAAAATTTTGTGTACTCGTTGACCTTTATGCTTGAAATGATGAACCTGGAAGCATTTATTGTAATAACTTATCCTACACATCACGCTAATCACTGCCACTGCCCATGTTCACACTATTACTAAATATGTAAAAGATAACTAAATTCACGTTCCACATTTTCATTCTACCCCTTAAAGTGTGTTTGGTACTGTGGATTCTGAACCTTAAAGCATGTTTGGTGTTGCAGTGGACTCGTGTTTTTTCACGTCAAGTAATAAGAGGCAAATACATCCAGCTTTTATGTTTTGGAGGAAAATTCATGTGATTTTATATTCTTTTGAAAATCATGTCCTGATGCAAAATTAATAAGCCTAGGTGTTCATACTAGGTTTAGATCGTTTTATAAGAAAACAATTTGTGAATATCTTTTTTTTTTAATTTTAATTATTATTTTTTAGACGGCTTAAATTATATTAATCTAATTAAAAAACCCAATTAGTTTAGTTCAGAACAATTTGTTCAAATTTTATTTTAAAAAATACATAATTTTGTAAAAAAATTACACATCGTTAAAAGCTAAAAAATATATTTTATTTTCATTGACTGATTAAAAAATATAAAATTTAATTGATTTGGTTTAAATTGTTGAATTTGTTGCACTGACTCAATCGAAACAAGATCCCTTTTACGTATCCCACATGACACTCCACTTCGGCCCAACTAGATATTTGCAACACATGCACATGCGTTTGAAATTTTTTCTGGTACAATTTATGTTTTATTTTTTTCCGTCGTGTTTGATAATGTGTTCATTACATACATTATATTTGTTTAATTAAAGTAAAATTTGAGAATCTATTTTTCGAAATCAAATAAACAGTTTACTAAGAAAATATCGTATCACTCTTATTAAATTATTTAATATAGTAAATAAATAAATATTTTATTAAAATACAATATATGCTAAAATTATTAAAATATCGTATCACTCTTATTATCGTATCACCTCCACATTTAGTGTTTAATATTATTTTATTTTTAATTTGTCTCTCTTGAACTTTATTAGGTAATGTTTTTTATTTTTAATAAAATAGTTATATTTTGAAGGAATGATAACTTTAAAGTAGTGATAATCCATATTTTTATTGCTTTATACTGATTAAAAAGAATTATTTTATTAAATATTTTTTATAAATTATATATTTGTATTTATTAACATTTTAAGATAATAAACCTAATAAAATAATAATTCATGTATATAATTAAAGAAGTATAATATTATAATATATACAATATTACGAGAATAAAAAAATTAAAGATTTGTTTATATACATATTTTAATATAAATATAATAAATTTAAGTATATATATATATATATATATATATATATATATATTTAATAAAAATAATTATTTCAAAATTATTCAATTACAAATATTTACTTATATGAGAAAAATAATATATAAAAAATGATACTAATATTAATGTATTATAATTTATATAATTATACTTTTTAGAAATAATATGATTTATGATAGAAAAATCTAAAATTCAACCGAAACTAAATTTTTAATCCAACCAAAATAGAGAACGAGAATAGAATAAAAATAAAAAATGCAATGAAGATGATTAAAAAAAGTCTGAGATGGATGAACTGTCTTGTCCCCTTTAGTAAATACAATCTCTTTATTCCATCTCAAATCACAATCTTTATAACAAATTATCTAAATATATATTTAGACTGATTAAAAAAAATTATGTAAAATAAAGAATTAGATATAATAAAATTGAATAGAAAAGTAAAGTAAAAGTTTTAAATATTTAATTGAAGGGAGGAAAAAAAGGAAAGAAAAATATAAATATTTGAAACAGAGATTGTTTAATGGATATTTTGTTGGAGAATGGTTGTACATGTATCATCACTCTTAATCCAGTTAAATATGGATTTAATATTAAATTTAAAACAAATCAAACCATATCAGATGATATTTTTATATTTAATTCAAACAACTTTTTGATAACTGGGATAATTCTCCAATATATATGTATGTGCCGATACGTCAGAAACCAATGAGGAAAATAAAAAATAAAAAATAAGAATTAAGAAGATGATTCGAATGCATGTTAATTACTGGTGCAATGAATTCGCAGGCGAAGAAGAATATTAGTGAGATCACGAGTGCTGATGCATGAATGCTCAACTAATCAAACTTGCGTCTTTATCTGGAACTGTCTCACGCCCAATTCGACACGTTAGATCCAATTAGTTAAAACCCTCTTTTGTGACCTAATTAAACTAATAATAATAAATCGCATTTTTTCATAATGAATCTGACTAGGAAACCAAAATGTGTATAAATATATATATGTAAATATAAACTCATAGATATATCTTGCACTAAGAAATTAAAGTAGTTTTAGATCCATTTTACACGATGAGTGAAGAAGACTTGGTTGAGTGCTCTGGAGACACCGTGCCATTGTCACCGATCAGTTTCTTAGAACAAGCTTCCACTGCCTATGCAGACAACATCTCCATCATCTTCAATGGTAATGTCAGATATTCATGGAGTCAAACCCATCAAAGATGCCTCAAGCTTGCTTCTGCTTTGGTTATCTTAGGGGTTTCTCACAACGATAATGTAAGTTTATATTTACCTTCGTTCTGCTTATTTTTCTCTCTGCATTTTCTGAGATTCAGAAAACTTCAATGCCATGAAAAACTTCTCCCTCATGATTTCATCAATATTTCTTATATTCCTAGACGTTTACTTCATGTATATGCGTAACAAATTGCATGTTTGGAATTTAAATTTGAAAATATGACCCTACCTAGTTTACCTAGCTTCATAGGGTTTCAATTTGTAATTATAATATATATACAGTAATATACGGTTTTAGGGTTTGAAATATAGAAAGTGGTCATATATATATATATATAGAATCAACCTCTATGTTGAAAAACTGTTTTCTGCAATTTGAATTCACGAACCTGGGCAAAACTTCATGTTTAGTTTTCTAGAATAAATTATTGTAATGAGGGGATCAATTTTTCTAAATTTGTTAGGGAAGTGTGGACTATTCCCTTTTTTTCAGATGCATGTATCTTTAGATCGAATTGAAGACAAACCACATGCATGGTTGAGGAATTGCATTTAAATTTATTTATTTTTCTAAATAAAATAATAAATTTATACATTGTTAAATGATCTTTTATTGATTAAGTTTGGTTGTTTTTTAGAATAAAATTATAAAACTTTGTATTTCTGAAATTTATAGAAAAATTATATTAATTATAAATTTTAAATTCTAATATATCTTTTAGGTTATTTTTTAATGGAAGAATTTTAAATATTTGCAATAAGGCTTTTCTTAAAAAAGGCAAAGATTTTGGAGAAGGAATTGGGACTTTTTGACTTCATTCTTATATCATTTTGATCTCACATTACTCATGAAACGCG